AAGCACGCACTGCTTGACAACCTTCAGCTTGAAATCACATCAGCAGTCCAGGCCACACTCGGCAGATGCGGTGTCTTTGTTTGAGGAGGGTCAAATAGGATGCGGGCGAAATGGCAACGTCTCATGGAGAAAATGATCATCAAACTAAACATGACGACTGACATAGATAGGAGTACCCTATTTTCAGGTCAACCCGCATAGGTCCTGTGGTTTGTTTGATGAAATACTCCCAATCATTTCGGGACGCCTATCAACTTTGGGAAACAATTCAAAACCATTGACCCAAGGGTGACCCCATGTTTGATGGGAGCCATCTGATTCTGTTGAACTTCTGTGGCCACCTGGCGTAAAAACCTGAAATCGTTGATTACTGATTGATAGTATATGATGTTTCTTATTGTTGGGTGAAATTGTTGCTATTATTGTTATTACATTTACATATATGAGTCTGAGTGCAATATGCTGTACTGTTCATGGTGTTATTTTTCTCCCCATGTTCGATATGTATTGACATATAAAAACTATTGATACGTCATTTGTTTGTATAATAATTAGATGGGGATATAACCATCCAGCTAAAGACTGTTTTTTCTTGTGCAAGGTATCTAAGACTGGTGGTGGTTGCTTGCCAGTGGCAGCTGCCGGATTGTGATCGTATACATGTTGTTTGCTAATGCTGCTTGGCATTAGCTGCGCTGCTGTTTACCCATCATGATTAACCTGCAGGACGGATATATGGATTGTTTGCGCTGGCTGCAGCAGGGCGCGCCTGCTCGCAAAGCGACCAGAGAGGCACGGAGAGCAGGGGTAGCTTTCGGGGGGTTGTTAGCCTGTTTTACCACAAATCAGTATAGTTTATGTCTGGCCCATTGTCTGTAACAGCTTTCACAAGCTAGAGCACGATTTTTGCACGGCGGGCGGCACCAAAGAGCACGATCTAGAGCACGATTTTTGCACGGAGGGGAACACCGAAACAGCACGATTTAGAGCACGATTTTTGCGATTTAGAGCACGATTTTTGCACGGAGGAGAGCGCCAAAACAGCACGATTTAGAGCGCGATTTTTGCATGGAGGGGAGCACCAAAACAGCACGATTTAGAGCACGATTTTTGCACCGAGAAGACCACCAAAACAGCACGAAAAAAAATTGGAAAAATGCATGAAATTCCTTGTGCTCCTTTTGAAGAGGTTTTCATAGAAAATCAATTTTCCGACTGTTACAGAGGTTGGGCTACACCCAAAGTATAGTGGTGTTTTATCCATTGGTTGAAGACGATATTCAATTGGTAATTTGGGAATTAACCATGTCACTTAGGGAACTACTCATCCAACAATTCCAGCTTCCTGCAAGTGCCACCTAAGTGTTCACATGTTTTCACATTGGTAGCCCCTCAAATTTGTGTCACATCGCTTTTTGGTGATAGAATGGTGCTTCGTCACCACTGCCAGGAACTAGTCCATAAAAATCCAATGGCACAAGACCTATCAAGACCTCATGTGTTTTTTAAGATGTTTGAATTAAGTTGCTAGCAATAAGTGACGGTATATCATGGTATATCCCATGTTTAGACCATCCCACATATAACTGGAGATGTCCAATAGTCCAATGGTTTTTTAGGACACCCAACTTGGGCCAGGAGACCTTTCACTTCACGGACCAATCCTCTACTCGACGTTTGGGGCCACTCTTGTCTGAAGGGCTCTGCTCTGAGACGATTCGGATGGGTTGCATGTTTCTGTCCAAAGCTGTGATTTTCCATGACTTTTCCCGTGACAGTGATGAGAAAGCTCTGGATTTGGGGGGCCCGTTGGCATCATTGGTACCCCATGTTTGAGCCACGATGTCACGATGTCATGTGTGTTTTGCTGATGGCATTGAAGAACAGCTCTTGTTCGATGATGGGCCTCTGCCCTGGGTTAGCAAAAGGCCAGTTATTCCTGAGTCCATTGGTTGCTTTGTTTTAGGTTGCCATGCCTTCATAGCCTCATGGCCTCATAGCCGTCATAGCCATTTGCAGTCCTGCAGCCAGACACTGCTGAGGAAGCGGTTTTTGCTCGAAATCTTTCGGGGGCTCCAATCTTAGTCTCCTCTTTTGCACCTGTAACAGGAGAAGCCAATGGCTAACCAACAAACAAGTAGGATCACAGGGAAGATGTGCCACGTAAAACACATCTTGTTCGAGCATTCATTTCAGTAATCTGGCCTATTCCTCCATGAACCAAGATGTGCTTGTACAATCTCACGCCTCAGTTCGTAAATTTGGTATCGTCATCTTTAATTCGCCGTTCTTTTTGAATGGAGGGCAATTTATTTATATAGGGCATCTTTTGTGGTTTAAGGATTTTTTTGGATTTCTGTCTCCTCTCTACTCTGCCGCTTTTCTTCTCTGCTTTTCTGCTCTTTTGCTTCTCTGCTTTTTTGCTTCTCTGCTTCTCTGCTGTTTTGCTTCTACGCTTCTCTTGTTTTTGCTTCTCCGCTTTGCAGTTTTCCCGTTTTTTTTGTTCTACGCTTCTTTATTTGCTTCTCTGCTTTTTTGCTTCTGTTTTTCTGCTTCTCTGTTTTTTGTTTCTCTATTTTTTGTTCTCTGCTTTGTACTTTTTCTGCTGGCTTTCCTTGCTTCTTGTTTTTCTAGCTGCTTCCTTGTTATTCTGCTTGATTACAAGTATTTACAAGTGCAGCTACAACTACATGAAAAACAGCACCAGCAGCACAAACAACAAGAGCAGCATGTACGCAAGGAACAACGAGAACAACAAACGCAATAAAAGCAACAAGAGAAACAAGAACAACTACAACGGCAAAGGAGGAACACAATCGAAATTGTCTCTGTGTTCCTTGGGGGGGGCACTCCCTCCAGCTGTTTCTATTGTGTTGTTGCTTGCTTTTGTTTTTGCCCTTTTTGGTTTCTTCGCGTTGGTGTAAGGACCGTGATGTAAATGAGCTGGGTAACAAGTTAAGGTTTCACAATGAAAGGTTGAAGTTCAAAAATGCTGCAAATATCAGTTGCAAAATCCTGCAAGTACAATGAACATGAAAATGAAAGGGGCTATCTTCCAAATGTCGCAGATGCCATGCAAAATGAGAGGTTCTATCTATCTCCACAATGCAGGTCGACGTTGCAGAATGCTGAAAATATTGCAAATACCAATGCCACGCAAACTCTGTTGTTTGTTTCTCTGCTGTTTTGGTCGTGCTGGTTTCGCCAGTTTTCTCTTCTTGGCTTTGCAAAGTTTTACGAGTTTCTTGACTTCATGGTCTTGTTTGTGTTCACCTGCTCACCGCAACCAAAGCCACAAGCGCAAAGAAATCACAAACACGGCCTACACCGAAACAAAGACCACAACATCAACAATATCAACAGTTGTTGGTGTGTTCCTCCAGCTACACCACCCCCAACAGCAACCACAACAGCAATGGCAACAACAACAAGAAACTACACCAACTACAATACCTGCAGCCTCAGCTACAACTGACAAGGATAGCAAAACAAACAAGAACCCACAACAGACATGACAACAGCCAACAACCAACAACTAACAACAACTTGCAATTAGCATGCCAAGTGGAAGATTCCAGCTCCAAAATGTTGCAAACATATGCAAATAATATGCAAAATCGAAGGTTCCAGCTCCCAAATGTGCAACTGGCAAGCAAAATCGAAGGTTCCAGCTGCAAAATGCTACAAATAGCATGCGAAAACGAAAGTTCTAACTATAAAATGCTGCAAATAGTATGCGAAATGGAAGGTCCTAGCTTGCTGTGCATAGCATGCAAAAGGAAAGGTTCCGGATCCAAATTGTTGCAAATGGCATGCAAAGTGGAAGGTTCCAGCTCCCAAAAGCTGCAAATAGCATAGAAATAGGTACGGCAGGAATACCCTTTCTGAATTTCATCATCCAACACTCCAGGCATGATTCTCCTGACGCTCTGAAGACTCACTCGAAGACAGAGTGATTCTCGGCAGGAGTGACAGCCTTCCGAGAAGGAACAAGATAAACAAGCCAGGGAGTTGGCTTGCAATTCGCGCCCCGCAATTTGAACATGCAACCGATGGAAATGAGGAGGCCTGGAAAAGGAGATAATTTTGCAGGCATACCAATGGGTTTTTGATGTTTGTGACCTCCATATGCGTGTTTTTGCCAAATTTGAGGTTCCCATGGTTTAACTTACGAGGCGTGAAAAAAATCCTGAATAGAATCCTTGATTTCGCCAGTATTGGCTCTTGCGCTGCATCGCCCACGTATCTCGCTTCACTGCACGACTCAGCACGACAGCCGTTGCAGATGGCTTCGGCCGGCCAATCTTTTTTAAGCTTCCCTCGTTGGGTATGGAGCAACAATGGGACCCAGGCTAGAAGCTGGTCATTGTTAGCATTCCACGTGAATCGGGAGATCCCCAACATAATGATACTTCCAACTTCCAACATCTTCCAGTTATAATGATACTTCCCGGATCTGTGAGCTGATGCTGCTTGGGGGAATCTATCATCATCAAACTTTTGGACCCGAATGGTGCCCCATACCCTTCCCATGAGCTTCACAAGAAGTGGCTCCAGCGGCCAATCGTTTCTAGCTCTAGTTCCCAATCCGATCCGTAACTGCAAAAATGATCCGAAGGGTCACCGGCTGCCCTTTGGTCGTCTAAGCTGGCATCGAAATCCCATAATACATGATTATGCAGATATAGATTTCAGAGAGAGAGAGAGAGACAGACAGACAGACAGAGAGCTAGACTTCTCGCTTTTTTGCCTGGCTCAGCAGCTGAGAACTGCAATTCATTGCGGTCAGAAGTGGCAGGAAAGTACTGCGCCAAGCCCAGCAGACATCAGACAGCCCACAAGCCGCACTGACACACGAAGTTTATACACTCACACTGTGTGTCAAGATGATGCATACATGATCATATCTACACATATCTTGGAACTGCTGCAAACACCTGGGAATTATTTCTGTTTTGCAAACCTCTTGGGCCCATGGCATCGCATAGCTCAGCGCTGGGATGACGGATATGACGGCGACTCTTCAGACAGATGAGGAATGCTGGAAATTCTGGGCTGAAGCTGGAAACAAAGGACTGCCCAGGGCTCATTGGGCACCAGCTGGTGATGAAAAGTGAAATCGACTGTGAGTTGGGTGGAGGGTTGTCTCAACATGGGGATGAAACATGATTTGACATGATTTAGCCTCACCCCAGGTGCTGCTTGGTGAGTACATTTGGATGGCTGGGGTCCAGAGCAACAAAAGTTTTAGGTATAAGACATACCGCCACCAGCCAATGAATAGGATCTTCATCCTGGACCTTCCTGATGTATAAGAAATCTCGAAGAATCAAATCCATCAACCACATGATGCCAAGGATTTCATGAGTTTTCATGAGCTTTCATCCTTGAGGCCACCTGGCAAAGTCCGCCAAAATCATCCAATATTTTCATATATGTTCTGTGTGTGTGTCCGACTTGCATTATAGAAAGATTTGAAGGACCCATGTACATTTTATAACAATCCATGGGAGATCAATATGGAGGAAAAATCGAAAGTGATAATTTCCTTTTTCGGCATTCCCTTCATCATCCTTCATCCATATCCAGTTTGTGTATCGATCCTTCGGTCGCTAGGACTGAAAGCCAATGGCGAGAAAGCCGTCCTTCGCGCCCACGAGAGCTCATGCCTGGCTGCTCTGTTCCTGATCGCAGGGCAACATCCCGAGGCACGGATCATTTCTACCTCGACATTTCGCAAAGGGAACGGGTCATTTTCTTATGTTTGTGCAAAGGCGAGCGACATCGAACGACTATTTTATGGGATATGATTATGATGGGATATGACAGGAGGTAAAACTCATGAATAGCGATGGAAGATGATGGAAGTGAGTATGGGTCAATCATGTCAAGAATGGGTCTGTTGGAACCGCGGTTATTGGGACAAAATCTTGGGCGGATGCGTCGTGTCACGACAACTGAGCAGGAATGGAAGATCTTACAATCCTAAAACTTTTGCATATCCAAGGTGGTGAGGAAACAAAGGCTGGTTTATGTTGGCTTTGTCAGTTGGCAATGGGTTCAAAGTGATTTAGTGTGCAATTTTTTGCTTCGATGCTCAAAATGTCCGAAATCATCCAATTTCCTAATCCAGCCATCTTAAGATTAAGTGGAATCTTAAGTGAATGGATTCCCTGACTCGCACATGGTGATTCCAGACCTCCAAGGTGGAGAAGCTGGCTCCGGAGCTCCGGGCAGCCGGTTTGGTGTGCTGCATCATTGACCACCGCCATCCGCATTTTGAAAAGCTCTCGAAGGATGGCATCAGTGCTGTGCTTCACAGGCCGGTGGATGAGGCTCCACTTCCAGACAGCTCCGTGGCCAAGTCCAAGGTGCCGGTGCAGGCAGAAGTTTTCGGGGCCAAGAATTCGCCAGAGGTGAAAGATCCCCCCAAACGCGAGCAAAGTGAGGAAAGAGAGGTCAGGAATGCGGAAGCTCTTCCAGAAACTGCTGCGTTCTTCGGCTCCTCTGACTCTGATTCAGAGGATGATGCAAAACCAGCATCACCCGAGCAGCCGCCAATTCGAGGAGCTGCGCCGAAGAGCAGTGTGGTGCCTCTATCTCGTCCAAAGGTCGCAAAACACACAACTGAGGCGAGGTGTGTAGTGGAACCTGACAAGGATTCAGAAGAAGAAGAAGATGAAGAGTCTTCAGAGGAGGATGAAGAGGAGGAAGCACCACAGAAGGAGGATCAGAAGACAGCTCCAAAATCTCAACAAGCCTCCCCAAAGCAGAGCACAGCCAGAAAGTCGAGATGCATTTTGAGCGAGGACGAAAGCTCTGATGTGTCCGATGACAGGAGCTCCCCCAGACCAGCTGAAAATGCCAAGGACTCAGCTTCCAAAGTGACTTCGTCCGTGCGCTTCGGGCGTCGGAGATCCCCTTTGCCACGGCTTCGCCAAAAGAGGCGTGAAGAGAGGTGGGGTTTTCCTGAAAATAGCGACCATTGGGCCCCCCAATAATATCTCAAAATACAATGTGCCATGGTAGCTGTCTCATCATGTTCCCCATTTTTTGGGCTGTAAAAAACGGGTGCCCATCCCCATCTCTGCCCCATTTCAGGCGGAGGGCGGAGAGGTCTGATCGGTCCAGGAGAGATAGCCGATCCTCAAGTCGAAGGAGGTCTCGCAGCAGGAGAGCGTCAGCAGAGGCCTCTCCGGCTCGGTTCCCATTTGCGGCACGAGGACAGCCTCGTTCCAAAAGGAAGGCGGAGCCACCCCGGCTGAAGTCCAGGAGGGAGCGCAGCCAAGAGGAGAGGGAAAGGAGGAGAGATGAGGAGTACAAAGAGCACAGACAAAGATACAGGCGAGAGGTGGAGCTGAGGACTCATAGAGAACGGCAGAGGCAAGACGAAGAATTGAGGGAGCAGAAGGAAAGAGAGAAGCGAGAAAAAGAGCTGAAGGAGCAGAAAGAAAGAGAGCAGAGAGAGAAGGAACGGAGGGAAAGAGAGCATAGAGAAAAGGAACGTAAGGAAAAGGAGCAGAGAGAAAGAGAAGCGAGGGAAAGAGAGCAAAGAGAAAGGGCACGGAGGGAACGCGAGCAGAGAGAAAAAGAAGCGAGGGAAAGAGAGCAAAGAGAAAGAGAACAAAGAGAAAGAGAACAAAGAGAAAGAGAACGGAGGGAACGAGAGCAGAGAGAAAAAGAAACGAGGGAAAGAGAGCAAAAAGAAAGAGAACTCAGGGAGCTCAGGGAAAGAGAACAACGGGAACAAGAACTGAGGCAACTGAAGGAAAGAGAGCAGAGAGAAAGAGAGTTAAAAGAGCTCCAGGAAAGAGAGAGGCGAGAGAGAGAGTTGAAGGAGCTCCAGGAAAGAGAGAGGCGAGAAAGAGAGTTGAAGGAGCTCCAGGAAAGAGAAAGGCGAGAAAGAGAGTTGAAGGAGCTCCAGGAAAGAGAGAGGAGAGAAAGAGAGTTGAAGGAGTTCCAGGAAAGAGAGAGGAGAGAAAGAGAATTGAAGGAGCTCCAGGAAAGAGAAAGGAGAGAAAAAGAATTGAGGGAACAGCAAGAAAAGGAGCTGCAAGCTGCCAGGGACCAGGACCGAAAAAGGGAGCCGAAGTCCCAACCAGCACCAGATCCAAGAATGCCTACGCAGGCAGTGCCTTCAGCACCAGATTCGAAGCCACTGTTTGTGATGCACGTCGGTGCTGAACAGGACCAGGCTGCGACGGCCTTCAAGGAAGCCAGCAGGATTGCAGCCTCTGGGATGTGCTTACAGTAATTTTTTTGCTGCTGTTTTTGTGAGTGCAGGTGACGGCAGCTGAAACTATGATAGTCAACCTCGTTTGACTTGAATTTGTTGCAATTTGCTCACGTTGGGTGATTGGACGGCCAAACTGTGATACATAACCTGGATGTTGTTGTATTCCTTTTTGCTGACTCTGCTTGGCTACTCCTGCGCAAACCCTATTTCAGATTGCCCCTTCAAAAGTTTCTTTAATATCCTTTAATCATTAAGCGTGGAACCGTTCAACACTGGCGCATGACTAGAGCGGAGAGTTGTTTGACGCCGAAGGCGAACAGACAGGCTGGTTCCTCCACCTCACAAGCCAACCTCTCTGAGCAGCTTGGAGGCGGTCCTAAGCTGCTGAAAGTGGAGAGACACAAGGACCATCCCATGGCTCAAATCAAGCTGAACCAGCAAGAGACTGCCGAGCAGATTCTGCGGCTCAGGCCCTCGCACATCAACGGGGTGCCGGTGAAGAACTGGGAACGTCTGAGCAACGATCCTTCAGCCTTTCTGATTCTTTGGGAAGGTGGCTGGGTTCAAAAAAAGTTCACAACATGACCTTTTGCAGCGATGGTTTCCAACAAAATGTTCGGGGGCTGCAGTCTTTTGGTTTGGGGAACTTTAAGCCAGAAGACGAAGGGGAAAGGCACTTTCACAACCTCAAACTGCATAAACTTTGGTATGGTTAGTGCAGTTAACTGTCCATAATCCATAACTGTAACTGTCCAATTTGAAGCCTCTAAATCGGGAGACAGAATTACAGTACCCGGTTTAAAGAAAAGTATGTTTCATTGAGTGTTTTGCAGGGCTACCGGGTAGTTTTTTCCATGTGATAAAAACCCAAGGTGACCGGAATGCCCTGGATGATGCCACGCTTGAAAGCCACTTCAACCAGATGATTCAGCAGCTCAGCCCGCAGAACCCACCTCCGACTCAGACCAAGGCGAAACCGCAAGCTGCGTGCTGACCCAAGCCAAAGGATGTGACCAAATATAGATGTGATGTTTGCCTAGGGCCTAGAATGATGGATGCAGTACATGTGTGCATGATATGCATGTAGATATAGAATATATATGAATATATTAGAATATAATACATTGCATATGGATCTATATGTGTGGGTTTGTTTGCGTTAGCGTGTGTGTGTGTGTGTCTCCCTTGAAGGTCATGCTAGACGTATCACCATTGTGGCAAGGTGTATGACCGGGCTTGTTTGATGTTGTTAGCTCCCAAACTTTTTGAAACACACTCCAATTATTGTTTCCCCATCTCAAGCCCCATCTCAAAGTGCCATGTCATGCCATGTCACTGTACGATGATCCAAGTTTGGCGCCCAGATCAACTGATGTTTTTCCGGTTAAAACCTTTTAAACAACGGTTACGGCGTACGGTTGAACTGAGGGGCGCCACATGAACATGGTCATTTTCTGCTCCCGAAGTGTGGGGAGTCCTCTCAAAAAAGACAGGTAAGTAGCAGGTAGATGATATGTTTCTTTGATGTGGGAAGAGCGGTAGTCAACACAACTTGACAATCCCGCAATTGTGGCTCACTATATCTTGTTATGGGATGTTATGGGGCATACCGTTTACCCTCTGGTAATCAAACATGGCCATGGAAAATCCACCTTTAGAAAACATGTTGATAGGGGATTTCCCAGCAAGCTATCTTTGATTACCCAGTAAAGGTGAACCCCCTGGTCCGGTCGGTATCTCTTGGACGGTGCAGGACGACGAAGAAGACAAGCGCCTGATGGAACAGATCAACAAGGTGCGTGTCCCGCCGCGGGCGCGTTCGGGCCCAGTGGTAAAGTGACAATAGCCTCCAGAAAGCTAAGAGGTTGCTATGGAAAATGGATGACACTGGTCCAGCTATAGTACAGCTATAGATGCTTTTGATAAATTTAGCCTTACTTAGCAACATGTAGCCATATTTAGCCTAATATTTACCATGGTGATTTTCGATAGCAAACTGTTTAGTCAGAGGGTAGATATGATGATTCCACCAGCTCCCAGGAAATGATCGTGCTGGTGGAGTTCCATATAGATCGGTGTCGGTGTGGAAATGACAAACTGCAGGGAATTAAGTTGCCCTTTTGGGGTGGAAAATGGTGGAGAAATGAACAGTTATTAGATGTTATTACTGTAGATGTTATTAGTATAATACTAAAACTAAAACACTGAAGTGTTGGGGGTCTGTTTGATACTAGAGGGGTGGGATTGTTGTTGTTGCTTGTTCAAACATCTTAAATCTTCATATGTTTGCCGGCTTTATTCCAAATCTGCGATCATCCGGGGATCCTTGCAGATTGTTGCTTCAAATCAACCAAGATTGGGATTAAGAGGCATCATCGGCTACTTTACCAACACGGATAGCGATGGATCATGTTTTTTTTGACCAGTCGGATTGCTCCTGTTCACGATGCCACCACACACTGTTGACTGGGAATAGCTATAGAAAGCCGGATTTACTATCTGGGTAGTTTATTTTGTCGGACCTTGGCCTGAAAGTAATCCTATGACTGGGGGTGATTCATGTGAAACTCATTGTCTGATTGTTTGAGTTGGCTAAGAATGGCTGAAACATCTTGCGCAACCGCGTCGATGATCAAAGTCAAACAATCTTAGCAATCTTTTTGTTGCTGCCGTTTTCACATGTTTTTTGTTGTCAACCTAGTGGGATGATGATCGCCAATGACTATAGCCTATAGCAATTGCAGCCGCAGCCTGGAACCACGAAATCAGTGGACCGTGCCGGGTCCCAACCAGTTCTTGGAGACATGTCAATTATTCTCCCCATCGATGCTGGTAATATACATATATATATATATAATATATATAATTGTATATATATTATTGTATATTACATTTATTAATTTTATTTTATTTATTTGTCTATGCATTTATTTGTTTTTATAATTCGTCATACTAATTATTAATTAATGCAGTTGCAGATCGTCAACCCTTGCCACACGAAACCCTCTGGCACTTCACAATGACATAGGTTCGAATTTGGTCAGTCCTGATGTGACAAGCGAAAGGCAACCCATAGTAGATGAAGACCATACCGGACCGTTGTTTTTCTTTGGTAAGGATTGCCAATGGATGTTTGTTGGCTCGCCCATTTGTCTCCCACAGCGAGGCCATTGAAGACACCCGGAAAGCTCGAGGTGTGCAAGAGCTGCAGCAAAAAGTGATGGAGGACTTGGAGTTCAAAATGGTTTCGGTGTATGAGGACATGATCGTGAGGCAAAGATTTCTGGACCATGCCCGGAACCGGCAAGACAGCTTCCAGAACTTGTCTGACGCCGAGAGGCAGATGTTGGCACAGTTCCAGTCAGACCTGCAACAGCTGCAACAAACACATGCCTTGTTGGAACGAGAAATGGAGAGCAAGCTGTTCCCATGGGAGCGTGAGGCCCTGTATGCACGTCTGCGGGCCAAGAAGCATCAAGCTGCACAGCAAGCTGAAGCCAAGTTGCAGATGCACGTAAGAGAGCAGGCACAGCTGGCACAGCTGGCACAGCAGGCACAGCAGGCACAGCTAGCACAGCAGCAGGCACAACAACTGCAGCAAGCCTACATGCAGCAGATGCAACAAGCACAACTGCAGCAGGCGCAGATACGGCAACAACGACAGCAATATCAGCTGCAACAGGCGCAGATGCAGCACATGCAGAGGCAGACGCAGCAAGCACCATGGGAGCAGAGCCAGGTGAAAGATGCAGCAATGAATGACCAATACCATCTCGCTCAGCAATTGCAAGAGCAGATACACTGGGAAGAGCATCTGGTAGAGAGCCGCTCCCCACCAAGACCCATTTGCAAGACACAGGCTCAGGCACCACCGCCGCCACCACCACCTCCCAAAGATGCAGAGAATGCAAGCCCTGGTGTGACTGGCAATGCTCCTCCAGTGGTGCCAATCATCGTACCAAAGGAGGGATCACTCCTCGGAAAGGCTAGAACTTTTGCAAGCGACTCCAACATACCTCCAGGAGTCATCGCCCTCCAGGCGGGCCTACGCCCTGAAGGAAGGCCAATTGTGCCGCGAAATTTGCTGCAAGAGGCCAAGGAGGGACCGCCCAAAAAGTTCACCCCTCCAATCCCAGCAAGTACCGGCAAACCAGGTGGCATCGTGAAAGCTCCCACTCTGACGGCCAGTTTGCCAGCACCTCCGCCTCAGGCGCAGATTACAGCACATTTGCCCCCCTCCTTTGCAGCAGCTCCGGCCGAAGATGCGGCACCGTGTGCACCGTGTATGGAGGGCACCACACCAAAGCCGAGGTCTGTAGTGGAGCCGTCCGACGGATCCAGTGCAAAGTGCCCTCCCAGGACAAGACCAGTGGGAAAAGCACCCATGCAGATAATGCCAGAAGGGCTTGATGCTGTGAGCCAGCCAGGCCTGACTAATGATGCAATGGCTGCGCCACCAGCGTGGCAGGCGGTAATCAAGGCAAGACGGAGGATCTACGAACCGCCAGAAACATTGCCAGAGTTCCCACCAGAGGAAGAGATTGTTGAGATCGATCCGGAAACAACTTCGGCCCCCGCTCCAGCCACACCCCCAGCTCCAGCCATGAGCTTCCCTCCAGATACACCAGATGGGTTGCCTTTGGATGGCTCTGCTGCAAACGGCTCCGCTCCAGATGGCGTACCTTCAGACGGCTTCCCTCCACATGACCCGGCTCCAGACACGTTCCCTTCAGATGGCTCCGCTCCACGCGGCTTGGATGCAGATGGCTCCGCCCCCCACCCTCCAGATGCCCTCCCTTTGGGTGGCTCCTCGCCAGATGGCTCGCCTCCAGATGGCTTGCCTCCAGATGGCCTCGCTCCACCTGGCTCCGCTCCAGACATCTTGGACGCAGACGGCTCCGCTCCACATGGCTTGGATGCCGATGATTTGGATTCAGATGGCTTGGCTCCGGACACTCCAGAAATTTGCCCTCCCTCACCAGATGGCTTGCCTCCAGATGGCTTCGCTCCAGATGCATTCCAAGTAGATGGCTCCGCTCCAGACATCTCCCTTCCAGATGGCTCCTGGCCAGATGGCTTGCCTCCAGACACTCCAGAAATTTGCCCTCCCTCACCAGATGGCTTGCCTCCAGATGGCTTCGCTCCAGATGCATTCCAAGTAGATGGCTCCGCTCCAGACATCTCCCTTCCAGATGGCTCCTGGCCAGATGGCTTGCCTCCAGATGGCTTTGTTCCAGATGGCCCAGTTCCAGACAGCTTACCTGTAGATGGCTCCACTCCAGGCTTTCCGGACAGCTTGCCTTCAGATGACTTCCCTCCAGATAGCTCCCATCCAGATAGCTTGCCTTCAGATGACTTCCCTCCAGATAGCTCGCCTACAGGTGGCTTTCCTCCAGATGGCTCGGGCCCTCCAGACAGCTTCCCTCCAGATGGCTCCGCTCCAGACCCTCCAGACAGCTTCCCTCCAGATGGATCCGCTCCAGACCTTCCAGACAGCTTCCCTCCAGATGGATCTGCTCTAGACCCTCCAGACAGCTTCCCTCCAGATGGCTCCGCTCCAGACCCTCCAGACAGCTTCCCTCCAGATGGATCTGCTCCAGACCCTCCAGACAGCTTCCCTCCAGATGGATCTGCTCCAGACCCTCCAGACAGCTTCCCTCCAGATGGATCTGCTCCAGACTCTACTATAGAGGACGTCCTTTCAGATAGCGTGCTGCGAGATGATCCCAACAACGACATTGCAGTGGAAGCAAGCGCGCCAGTACCACACCCATCACCAGCAGCCCCCATCCCTGCCTGGTCAGTGAGAAGGAGTACCTTCCAGACCGCCATTGCAAATCTTAAACGTGCATCCGCAGGCCGATGCCGGTTGAAATTGTGTTTTTCTCAGGGATGGTTCGATATCCCCTTCTATGAACAGATACCAGTCGTGTTTCACCCCATTATCATTCCATTATCATCATTTGTGTCCCCATAGAATGACCCATCGCTTGGATGATCCGATGATCTACTTGGGGATCCACTCCAGGTCGTGCCGCCTCAACTACTTTGGGTCGTCCCTTGATCAAGCCCTTCCTCAAGCCAGCAGTGCATCGAGCACAGCATCCGCAAGGAGGCTCTTGATGTTCCAATGGGGGGAGGTATAGAATCATGGTTAATCATCATCAAAGGAAGTTTCATAGAGAAAACTCCGAGTTACGGACTTTCACATTCTCACAAGCTAAAAGACCATTGTGTCCAGTTGGCACCTGCACAGAGGTCGAGTAGATGTAGAGTAGAGGCAGAAGTAGGAGTAGAGTAGAGTAAAGCTTTGTAGAGTAGAGTAACGCTATGTAGAGTAGCGAAGAGTAGAGGTAGAGTAGAGTAGAGGTAGAGTAGAGGCAGAAGTAGAAGTAGGGTAGAATAAAGCTGTGAGAAGAGTGGAGTATAGCAGAGTTGCGTAAAGAAGAGGAGAGATTAGTAGAGTTAGAGTAGGGCAATGAGTAGAGGCAGAGAAAGGAGCTGACTAGAGTAAAGCTTTGTAGAGTAGAGATAGAAGTAGAGTAGAGTAAACACTGTGTAGGGTAGCGAAGAGTAGAGCGAAGAATAGAGCGCAGAGTAGAGCGAAGAGTAGAGCGAAGAGTAGAGCGAAGAGTAGAGATAGAGTAGAGGTAGAGGTAGAGTAGAGGCAGAAGTAGTAAGTAGAAGTAGAGTAGAGTATAGTGACTGACAGTCACTTAGCACATAATTTTCCAATTTTTTCGACTTTCACACTTAGAACATCCAGAGCAAAAGCAGTTAGAACATCCTATATGTAGGTTGATGGATGTTCTAAGTGTGAGGCTCCTTGCAACTAACCCTTGCTCCCCACACGTAACATCACAAACAAGAGCTCGTTCAAGTTTATTTTTTCTGTCAATAGATCATTTTAGAAAACAGTTAATGTCAATAGGTCATTTTCAAGATATATATATATATATGTTGTAATGCCTTCGGATGTTCAAAGTGTGGGGGGCTCCACAGCTGACTGATAACTTTGTGTTCATATAAATATTGTTTTGCCAATAGGTCATTATTGTATATATATATATATATGTTGTAATGTCTTGGGATGTTCTAAGTGTGGGGGTCCCCTCCCCACAGCTGATTGATAACTTTGTGTTCATATAAATGTAGTTATGACAATAGATCATTTTAAAAATATATATATATATTGTAATGCCTTGGGGTGTTCTAAGTGTGGGGGTCTCCACAGCTGATTGATAACTTGGTGCTCATTTAAATAGGGCTATGTCAAAGTTCATTTTAAAACTATATATGTTGTAATGTCTTGGGATGTTCTAAGTGTGGGGGTCCCCACGGCTGATTGATAACTTTGTGCTCAAAAAAATGCAGTTATGCCAATAGATCGTTATAAAAATAAATATATGTAATGTCTTGGGGTGTTCTAAGCGCGGGGGTACCCACAGCTGATTGATAACTGTGTGCTCAAATAAATAAAGTCATGTCACCAGATCATTATAGAAACATATTTGTTGTCGTGTCTTGGGATGGATAACTTTGTGTTCATATAAATGCGTTATGTCAATAGGTCATGATCAATATATTTTTATATTTATATATGTTGTAATGTCTTGGGATGTTCTAAGTGCGGGGGTCTCCACAGCTGATTGACAACTTGGTGCTCATATAAATGTAGTTATGTCAACAGATCACTTTAAAAGTATATCTGCTGTAATGTCTCGGGATGTTCTAAGTGTGGAGATTTTCGGATGTTCTTCAACAGAGCTTTCATTGAAAAAAAAAGTTTTCCAAGCGATGTTCTAAGTGATTGTCCGTCGCTATACAGCTGTGAGAAGAGTAGAGTGTAGCAGAGTAGCGTAGAGAAGAGGAGAGATTAGTAGAGTAGAGGCAGAGCAAAGAGTAGAGGCAGAAGTAGGAGTAGAGTAGAGCAAAGCTTTGTATAGTAGAGTAGAAGTAGAGTAGAGTAACGCTGTGTAGACTAGCGAAGAGTAGAGCGAAGAGTAGAGATAGAGTAGAGGCAGATGTAGAAGTAGAGTAGAGTAAAGCTGTGAGAAGAGTAGAGTATAGCAGAGTAGCAGTAGCATAGAGAAGAGGAGAGATTAGTAGAGTAAAGCAAAGTAGAGTAGAAGTAGAATTAGAGCAGAGAAAAGCCGCGTAGAGAAGACGAGAGATGAGTAGAGTAGAGTAGAGCAGACTAGCGTAGAGCAGAGGGGTACTTGCTCCGCAGTGCCCGTCTGCAATTCCGATTGTGTTTTGCAATGTCTTGCAACTCACTGTTGCTTAGATCGCATTGGAACGGTGACATCAAGGATACGATTTGAATGTTAGGATTTGCGCGACACCTTGTGTCTTTTTGAGGTAAACGGAGGAATCGTTGCGGAGATTGTGTTTTGCGGATCATTGTTGGCAGATTGCATTGGGACTGCTACATCAAGGATGCGTTTTGAATGAGTGAAGATTTGGACGAAACATTGCGTTTTTTCGGGCACACGGAGGTTACGTTGCGGAGAAAAGTTGGCTCGCGTTCGCGACAGTTGCGAGCGTCGCCGCTTGCGGGCGTCGCCGCTTTACCATGGAATCTGTCCCGAACTGCGCACGCAATGTAACTGATGGTTCCAGGTAACTTTTTCTCTTCTTTGTCGACGCTGTGCTGTGGTAGTTTGCATGCGTTGAGCTACTTTGTGCATTGGAGTTGGTGTATCAGAGCGATGTTTTCTATCTAATTACTGTACTGTGTTGCAATCCTAGTGTGTTTGGCAATTCAGTTTTTGCAGGTCGCAGTGGAATGGCTGCGCCAAGGCTGCTCGAAGGGTACTTGTTCTTCAGTATAGCGTCTTGCGGATCTGACAGCGTTTTGCGGATCATTGTTGCCAGATTGCAGTGGAACTGGCACATCAAGGGTGCGATTTGAACGTTAGGATTTGCAGGAAACATTGTGTTTTTTCGAGTACACGGAGGTTACGTTGCGGAGAAAAGTTGGCTCGCGTTCGCGACGGTTGCGGGCGTCGCTGCTTTACCATGGAATCTGTCCCGAACTGCGCGTGCAATGTAACTGATGGTTCCAGGTGACTTTTTCTCTTCTTTGTCGACGCTGTGCTGTGGTAGTTTGCATGTGTTGAGCTACTTTGTGCATTGGAATTGGTGCATCAGAGAGATGTGTTCTACAGTACTGTGTTGCAATTGTTATGTAACTTCTGTGTTTGGCAATTCAGTCTGTGCCGTCACAGCTCTTCGCGCGCGTGGAAAAACATGCTGCGGCTGAAGTGTGCTTGAACGTTGGACCCACAGGTGACAGTCCAGGATTCAATGGTAAGACAAGTGAAAGTTGCAACAGTGATTGTGTCGCAGAGACTGATGAGACAATCGAAGACGGATAGTTGCCCCGAAGGTTAAGTTTGTTTGAAATAAGCCGAACGCAACTTGAGATCGACCGAATGGAAAAGCAGGTCAACTGCGCTGAAAAAGAAAGTTTGCACTTGTGTCACTTCAACCGGGCTGAGAAAAATTGGACCTGTGGAACTGAGGTGAGGTGAGTCAACACGAGTTGAAAGGAGTTGAGAAGAGAAGAGAGAGAGATGAAAGGAGAGTTGAGGAGAGCCAAGAAGATGTGAATAGAGATGAAGGTCGTTGAGAAGAGCTGACAAGAGGCCAGAAGTGGTTGGAAGAGTTGAGAAGTGGTTGGAAGAGTTGCGACAAGAGGTGAGAAGTCGTGGAAAGAGCATGGAAGTTTGCTGCAGCTGGCTCCTATATGCAAGCCTGGTCTTTGGATCCTATAGCGTCACAGTCCTTAAACCTGGAAACTTCCGCCACCCGCCTTGCGCGGGATTTACTTGTACTAGCATCCTTATGACTCCCATATATTCCCGTAAAATGCCGGTATCCGGGGTATTCTCCATTTCTGGTGTCGGCATGATGCTCATGGGTGGGATGTGCCCGATGGACGAAGCCGAAGCAATCGATATAGTTTTGCTGCTGGGGTTGATGAAAAAGACAGGTTTTGCAGGACATGTCTTTTTATCCCCACCCCCTTAACCCCCTGTTCAGGGGGGGGCCTGTATGTATGTATGTATGTATTTATGAATGTATGTATGTATGTATGTATGTGTATATGTATATGTACATGTATATGTATATGTATATCTATATGTATATATGTATGTGTATGTATGTATGTCTGTATGTATGTATGTATGTATGTATGTATGTATGTATGTACTTACGTATGTATGTATGTATGTATGCATGCATACATGTATGTATGTATGTATGTATGTATGTATGTATGTACTTACGTATGTATGTATGTATGCATGCATACATGTATGTATGTATGTATGTATGTATGTGTGTATGTGTGTAAATGTGTATATGTGTATGTAAATATATGTATGTAAATATATATGTATGTATATATGTGTATATATGTGTATGTAATGTATGTATGTATGTATGTATGTATGCATGTAATGCATGTAATGCATGTAATGTATGTATGTATGTATGTATGTATGTATGTATGTGTGTATGTGTGTATGTGTGTATGTATGTATGTAATGTAATGTATGTATGTATGTATGTATGTATGTATGTATGTATGTATGTATGTATGTATGTATGTATGTATGTATGATTATGTATGATTATGTATGATTATGTATGATTATGTATGATTATGTATGTATGATTATGTATGTATGATTATGTATGTATGATTATGTATGTATATATGTATGTATGTATGTATGTATGTGTGTATGTGTGTATGTGTATATGTGTATGTAAATTTATGTATGTAAATTATTATGTGTGTGTATGTGTGTATGTATGTGTATGTGTATGTGTATGTGTATATGTATGTATGTCCGTCCGTCCGTCCGTCCGTCTGTCTGTCTGTCTGTCATGTATGTATTTATTTAATTATTTATTTATATATACTTATACTTATATATATGAATATACACGTGTGTGTGTGTATATTTATATACATACATGTATGTTTTTTGACATATGATTGGTATCTATATGTGAACCCTAGACGCGTGACATACCTCCTGCTCAAGGATTGTTTCTGCCTGGGACTTCTCAGCAGAGAACAGCTTCTGCAAGAGCGACAGAGCCTCGTGGCAAAGGCACCAGAGAGGCGAGCTTCCAAGGCAGTTGGGGATGAGTCAAATAGCGGCATTGGATTCTACAATAAACACAGATATCACGAATACAGAGTGTAGTATATACAACATACATATATATATGTATGTATGTATATATATATATGTATATATATATGTGTGTGTATATATGTATATATATATATATATGTGTGTGTGTATATATGTATATATATATGTAAATATGCTTGGGGAGGGTTCTGGGGGGGTGTGGTGTGGGGAGGGGGTCCATAAATGTAAGTTGGACACGCGCCGCGTGGACGACATACATTCTTAGACCCCCCCCCAGTCCAAATAAATGTAAGTTAGCACGCCCCGCGTACCATGTTACATTTTTCCGACCCCCCCTACCCCCTATCTATCATCTGGTTTCCCTAAGAAAATCTAAAAGATTCTACAAAAAAAATACTTTGCTCGCCACTTTGCTGAAGACATGCTTTATGCAGTCTTCTCTTTGAGACGTTGACGGCTTCGTTGGCAGGAACCTGTTGCTGGGTTTCAGGAACTTTGGGCAACCGTGGGCACTTTTGATCAGTGAGATTTGTTCCCCACATCATTGTGTGGGGTTCTCGTTTTTCTGTTGCGCGCTCCCGTCCACCTCCTCCGCCGCCTCCTCCTCCGCCTCTTTGTCACGCACAACATTCTCACACACACACACACAACTTTGCCACACAACTTTTTCTCACACAACTCTTTCACACGCATTTTTTTCGCACACAACTTTGTCACACACAACTCTTTCTCACATAACTCTCTCACACACACAACTTTGTCACACGCCCGTGTCACACACAACTTTGTCACACACAACTCTTTCACACACAACTTTGTCACACACAACTTTCCACACAACTCTTTCACACACAACTTGACATTTCTCTTTGTTTACATTACTCTTTGCGTGGCAGGCGTGGCGCTTGGTGACACCCAGCGGGACTTTGCGTCGCACGCTCTGGTGGCGCACCTGGTCGCCCTTGGCGTCGTGGCGTTTTCCAGTGGGGCAGGCGTGACAACCACGCTGCTTTTGTGTGGCAGGCGTGGCACTTACGGCACTGGGCTGCCTCTGGTGGCACGCTCCAATTTCGCCGCGGCACTTGCGTGGCAGGCGTGGCATTTGGTGGCATCAACGCACACTTCGTGAGGCGTTGCGCTTGGTGACATCCACGCTGCTTTTGCGTGGTAGGCGTGGCGCTTACGGAACTGGGCTAGCTCTGGTCACTCTTTCACACATGACCCTGTCACACACAACCCCTTCACACACAAATCTGTCACAGAACTCTTTCACAGACAGCTCCGTCACACCCAACTTTGTTACACACCATTCTTTCACACGTAACTCTTGTACAGACACCTCTTTCATACACAACTCTTTCACATACAGCACTTTCACCAACCTCACTTTCACATACGACTCTTGCACACAACCTGTCCTCCAAATTCCTCCACCATTTCCTTTGTCTTTCCTGTCTTTCCTGCCTTTCCCATCTCATCTTCGCTTCTGTTTGGACATGTGGAGCTTTCTGGTTCTTAATTTTGTTCTTTCTTGTTCCACTCTTAACCTGTTGATCTATGATTGGATGATTGTGCCTCTTGACCCTGGCCCCAAAGCAGTAGGATTTGATGACCAAAAAGCGCCTGCTTGGACAAACCAACTTGTTGGAAGCATGTTCTAACAAAGTGTATCTTGCACTTTGCTGATGCAGCTTGTTGCAACCCCGGAGGCTACGCCAGTGCGAGGCATGGAGTGTTGTGCATGCAAGCGGCAAGGCAAGGAACTCCCGTGCCTGAACCCAACATACCGCCGAGCAGAGCATCCTGGGCGCAGCCGGAAAATAGAGCTCCGGTGCCAGAGCCGAGCATGCCACCCAGCAAAGCATCATGGGCGGAAGCGGCAATCGAAGGAACCCCGGTGCCAGAGCCCAACACTCCGGTGCCAGAACCCAGCAGACCACCTGCGGCAAACCGAGGAACACCGGTGCCAGAACCCAGCAGGCCACCCAGCAGAGACGTCGAGTGGCACAACGATGAGTGGCACAAAGATGAAGACTTGGTGAGGTTTGGAGCAACCGCTGCGCCCAAAGCATCTGCAGCGTCCAAGGGATCCGGCCGCCCGGCCAAACATGCCTTCAGTTTTCCCCGTAAACAGGGAATGGATTGGGGATTCCCCTGCAAATTGCTTTGGTATGTGTCAGCCGCCCATTTGGCAGCTGTATATTGCATGGCCAGCTTTCTCATATCTTACAAAATAGTTCTGTGACTGTGTTTGGAACCGTTGTATTTTGTTTGGCTTGCAGCGTGGCATGATAAAGATGACCACCTCAGCCAAAACCGAGGTAAATTTGGACATTTCAGACCAGCTTTCGCGCCTCCTCTGACACCCGGAGATAGGCCAGCATGTTTTGAATGCTTTTCAGGTTTAAAGTGCCAAACCCACCAAATGTCAGGGCTGCACTCAGTGAGGTGCTTTTTGATCAGGCTGATTCGGCCGAAGCAAATTTACCAGTCATAGGATTTGCCATTGCTGGGAAAGTGCGTGTTGTTTTGGGCGATTCATTTGGGCGACTCAATCAGCAGTCTTTCTCTAAGGACAGCCTTTTCAGCTCCTGCTGCTGTGACAGCTGTGCCTTCTAAAGGCAAAGGGGTGAAGCGGCTTCGAGATGAGATGGGCAAAAGTGGCCGGCCAGGATATATGGCCTGGGGCGCTTCCAACCCGAACAGCCGCTTTGGGTACAAGTGAAAAAGCCGTCGACAAGCAATTTCTTGCCAAAAATTGAAATTAACACAATTAATTACTGGTTAAGCAAATAATTCTTATATAAATTGAAAAAGCACGGGCAATAAAGTATCTGGGCAAGACATGTGTTTGCAATATCGCAACCCGCAGCCCAGAGAGAACATAAAGGACCGCACGGCGCCAAACTAATTACCTTCCCCCAAGGAACCGCGTTTTTTGGGGAACATATTCATCATCATTTTACAAAAATCGCTTTGATGAAAAAAAGGTGCAGCCCACGAACCCGAATGCTCACACGCATGTTGATGGTACAAATGGCGGGCTGTCAGTGTAAACCATGATGTGTAAAGTGTAGAGTGTGGAGTGTCAAGTGCAAAGTGTGGAGTGCGAAGTGTAAAGTGTAAAGTGTGGAGTTTAAAGTGTAGAGTGCGAAGTTTGAATTGGAAAGTGCAAAGTGCAAAACCTGCAAAAAGTGCAACAAGTTCAACAAGTGCAGAGTGTGGAGTGCAAAGTGTAAAGCGGGGTAAAGTGTAAAGTGTGGAGTATCAAGTGTAAAGTGCAAAGTGTAGAGTGGGGAGTGTAAAGGGTAACGTGTGTGGGGTAAGATGTAAAGCTTGAGAATCAAGTATAGAGTATGGAGTGCGGAGTGTAAAGTTTAAAGTGCGGAGTGTAGATGAGTGTGGAGTGCAACGTGTAGAGTGGTGAGTGGCAAGTGCAAAGTGTCAAGTGTAGAGTGTGGAGTGCAAAGTGTAAATTGAAAATTGTAGAGTGTTCCAAATACTGCCCTTGGCACGTTGTCACCACTTGACACAGCCCTAGCAATGCGATTCGCAAAAGCACGCAAGATGTCTAAAGTGCTGCGCCTGCCACCAAAGATGCAACTCATCTTCTGAAAAGCCAGAACGATTTGTGACACGTGGTGAAACATGTTGCGATATGTTGTGATGTCACAAAGTGCCACGCCTGCTACGCAAAACGGCATTTTGACCACGTTTGAAACCTTTCAAAATGAGAGGCTTTGCACCTTCCCCAATAGGCACGGCGACGCCGCAAGAAAATCAGAGAATCGAGATAAGACATGTTGGAAGCCCAAAATACGCATTTCGCACGGGACTTCCTCAAACTTTCACACTTGACAGCTCCAAAATCGACGTTTTCTTACAAGTTTTCCTAATGAACCCCAAAATTGGCTACCTCAAAATCGATGTTTCGTGTCAGGCCTCCATCAATTTTCATCACACGTCAAAAAATGCCAGGCCTGCAATGCGATTTGCGCGCTGTTACCACTTGACGCAGCCCTGACAATGCAATTCGCAAAAAAAAACACACCTGCAACGAAAATCCAAATTATCTTTTGAAAATCTCGCAAGAGTATCGCGCCTGTCACGCAGAACGACCCGTAACACTTCTAAAAATTACCATTTTTACAACACTCCTAATAGCGACCTTATTCATGCCTGGCGATCATCAACCCCCCCAAATGCCCAAAATAAATATATAAATTCACATGTTTTTTAAAATTATTATTTAATAATATATAAAAAATAAAAAATATAAATTAAATATTAGATTTTGTAAACAAAATATTTTTTAATATATAAAATATATTCTTGCAAAAAATGAATTGTAAATAGAATATTTAAAAAACATACTGCTAATATTACGATCTGGCTGTACACAGAGCGCGCACGCGCAGTTTCCCGAGGCCAATTTTCCCAAAAATCTGCAATTTTTTTGGGAAAATTGGCGAATACAAACTTAGTCTGCGCAAATACAAACTGAGCCAGTGCTTCCTGAGCCCCCTGCTCGGAGATCGAAAATTTACTACTTTTTTCGGAGCATCCAATTTTGATTTTCCCAAAAAAGTGATGGTTTTTTGGGAAAATTTCTCGCCTCCCCAGTCAGTGTCTCACTAAGCAAATGCAGTACGGTCCGTCAGGGTCGGGGGGGGTTCGATTCCCCCCCGGTCCACTGTCGCTCGGCAGGTCTTTCAGTTGAGTTTGAACATGTGTCTTCTGAATTTGGCGCGCGCGCGCGCGGAGTTTCCCGAGGCCAATTGTTCAAAAATTTGCCACAATTTTGGGACTTTCACCCCAAGCCCAATTTTCTCAAAAATTTGCCACAATTTTGGGACTTTCACCCCGAGCCTAATTTTCCCAAAAATCTGCCAGAGTTTTGGGACTTTCACCCCGAGCCTAATTTTCCCAAAAATTGCCACAGTTTTGGATTTTTCCCGAATACAAACTTTGGGAACTTTCGTTTTGCGTTTCCGTTATTTTGAATTTACCGCATGCGTCTACCGCTCTTTTGAATTCACTATAAGATTTAAAACATGCATATCAGATTTTGGCGGGTGTGGCACAACATTGCCTGGCGCAGCAAGCACCAAAACGTCAGTCATGCCCACGATATTTCAGGCCTGCTGGTCGTGGGTACGAGTGTCTTTTTGGCACCGCTGACTTTGCATTGGAGGTGCGAGTGTCTTTTTGGCACCGCTGACTTTGCATTGGAAAGGCCGCTGATATAGGCTCCCCATGCTAGCGGAATGAAGTTGCACAACCAAACCAGTCGCATATCTTCATACGGCTACACATTTAGTCATGTTAATCCTGTGGCGGTGCCCTTGGTGTGGACCGCATGGCTGTTCACTGTTGCGCCCCCACGAAGTGCAAGCCGCAATGTGTAACGACATGTCCCCACTTTATTGCTACTAATTCCAATACTACGATCTGGCTGTACACAAACCACTTCGGGGAGCAGCTTTCAGTAGCAACTTTCGGGAGCAGCTTTCGGGAGCCGCTTTGCAGAATAGCTTTGGGGAGCCGTTTTGGGGAATAGGTTTGAAGAATCGCAGCTTTGGGGCAATAGTTTTGGACAGCAGCTTTGGGGAGCAGCTGTTGGTAGCAACTTTGGGGCGCAGCTTTCGGGGGCCGCTTTGCAGAATGGCTTTGGGGAGCCGTTTTGGTGAACAGGTTGCAGAATCGCAGCTTTGGGTCAACAGCTTTGGAGAACAGCTTTGGGGCACAACTTTGGGGAGCAGCGCCGGGGAACAGCTTTAGGGAGCAGCTTTGATCAGCAGCTTTGCACGGCAGCTTTGAAGAACCGCAGCTTTGGGCAGCGCCTTTGGGGACTATACTTTAGAACGATAGAACGGAACTTTGGGGAGCAGCTTTCGGCAGCAACTTTGGGGAGCATCTTTCGGGAGCCGCTTTGGAGAATAGCTTTGGGGGACGCTTTGGGGAACAGGTTTGAAGCAAAGCTGCTTTGGGCAACCGCTTTGCAGAGGTGCTTTGGGGAGCAGCTTTGGGAAGCAGCTTCGGGGAACCGCTTTAGGGAGCAGCTTTGGCAAGCTGTCCGGAACAACCTTCAGGAACAATTGCTTTGAAGAGCAGCAGCAGCTTTCGGGGGCAGCTTTACAACTTCGGGGTGCAGCTTTCAGTAGCAACTTTTGGGAGCAGCTTTTGGGAGCCGCTTTGCAGAATAGTTTTGGGGAGCCGTTTTGGGGAAGAGGTTTGAAGAATCGCAGCTTTGGGGCAATAGTTTTGGACAGCAGCTGGTAGCAACTTTGGCGCAGCTTTCGGGAGCCGCTTTGCAGAATGGCTTTGGGGAGCCGTTTTGGTGAACAGGTTTGCAGAATCGCAGCTTTAGGGCGACAGCTTTGGAGAACAGCTTTGGGGCACAACTTTGGGGAGCAGCGCCGGGGAACAGCTTTGGCTAGCAGCTTTGGGGAGCAGCGTTGGGCAGCTTTCCGGACCAGCTTTGAGGCAGCTTCGGGCAGCAGCTTTGGAGTTTTGGGAGCTGCTTTTGGACGCGGCTTTCAATAGCAACTTTGAAGAGCAGCTTTGGGGAGCAACTGTGGGGAGCAACGTTGCGGCTTTGCAGTAGCATTGACGAACAGTTGCCTTGAAGAACGATAGCTTTGGGAAGTAGCTTTTTAGCAAGCAACTTTGGGAAACCGCTTTTGGAAACAACTTTCGGGGGCAGGCTTAGCAGCTGTTCGGAGCAGCTTTTGATAACAAGTTTGGGGAACGGCTTTGGGGAACAGCTTTGTGGAGCAGGTTTGGGGAACAGCTTTGGGGAGCCGAAGCAGCTTTGAATGGGGAGCACCTTTGGGGAGTAGCTTTAGACCGCAACTTTGGGGAGCAGCTTTCGGCAGCAACTTTGGGGAGCAGCTTTCGGGAGCCGCTTTGGAGAATAGCTTTGGGGAACGCTTTGGGGAACAGGTTTGAAGCATAGCCACTTTGGGGCAACCGCTTTGCAGAGGTACTTTGGGGAACCGCTTTGGGAAGCAGCTTTGTGGAACCGCTTTAGGGGAGCAGCTTTGGCAAGCTTTCCGGAACAATTTTGAGGAACAATTGATTATTTTGAAGAACAGCAGCTTTGGAGAGCAGCTTTTGGGGGTAGCTTTACAAACCACTTCGGGGAGCAGCTCTCAGCAGCAACTTTGGGGAGCAGCTTTCGGGAGCCATTTTGTGGTATAGACTTGAAGAATCGCAGCTTTGGGGCAATCGCTTTGGACAGCAGCTCTGGGGAACAATTTTGGGAGCAGCTTTGGGGAACAGCTTTGGGGACAACTTTTTGGAACAGCTTTGCAGACCACTTGCTTTGAAGAAATGCAGCTTTTGGGGGCACATTTACAAGGAACTTCGGGGAGCACTTTTAAGTAGCAATTTCGGATAATTTTGGGGAGTTTCTTTCGGAATGATTTTTGGGAACAGCTTTGGGGACCAGCTTTGGGGCTGTGGAAAGCAGCTAGCTCTGGGGCAGCTTCCGGGACCAGCTTTGGGGAGCAGATTTCGGGAACAACTTTGGGAGCAGCTTTGTGAACAGCTTTCTGGGGCAAATTGTGGGGCGCAGCTATGGGCGGACCAGCTTTCGATGACGCCTTTTGGGGACAACAACTTTGGGAAACCGCTTTGGGAATTAGTTTTTGTGGGGAGCATTTGGTGATATGGGAAGAATTGCGGATTTCTAATTGGTATTAATAATTAGCCGCCTTTATA